CTGCTCTTGTGGGCATTAAGATGATTGCTACAAGTAAAGCTCTTTCCACACTCCATGCATTGATACGGCTTCTCTCCTGTGTGGATCCTTTTATGGGTGGTAAGACCAGATTTCCACCTGAAGGCCGTTCCACATTCCACACATACATAAGGCTTCTCTCCAGTGTGGCTCCTCTTGTGGGCATTAAGACTACTGCTGCAAGTAAAGGTCTTTCCACACTCAATGCATCTATATGGTTTCTCTCCTGTGTGGATCCTCTTGTGGATATTAAGATTGCTACGCTTCGTGAAACCCTTTCCACACTCCATGCATTTATAAGGTCTTTCTTCTGTGTGATTCTTTTGATGGATTATAAGTGACTCAGAAGAACAGAAGATCTTTTCACACTCATCGCTCTTTGGTTGCTTCTGTTCTACACATTTCCTTTTCCCCACTTTCAGATGGATCGCTTGGCATTCCTCCTTGCAATTCTTATTCTCTTGCCCATTAAACCCTTGAAAAAGGAAAATGAGAACTGTAGCAAGAATAGGGAAACAATCAAAACTTTTCTTCTGAAATTTAGCCAAAGAATCATCAATATATTTCAGCTGTTTTGTGGGCAAACATGAAAAGTCCAAACTAAGATTGTAACAAAGACCCAATTCCAACTGTATCCCTAATGATCCTCCTATAATAGGATTGGATCACAACTCTGATCTAACCTTTGACCTGGGACAACTCCATGGTGCCACAAACTCCCAAAATGTACTGGACAATTTTTCATGCTAGGGCAGCAACGTACTCAGCCCTTCCTAATTTCAATCAAAGTCTCAGCTCCACTTGTCCGCACAGCAGAATCTTTGAAAGTCAAAGGGAATTTTGGGATGGCAATTGTTCCCCACCCTCAACTTAGGCTAATGTCTAACTCGGTACACAAGTGGACATATCTTTAAGAAGGGAACAAACCTCTCAGAGGTCATCCGGTCTTGGTGATAGCAGCTCAGGGCTATCAGGAACCCAGTGAACAGGTTCAGGAGGAAATAGCGAATCCTGGTAGCCAGAACCTTCCTCAGTACATTCAGCCTCTTCCTCACATGCTTCCTAATATCTTTGATGAAATGAGTATTTTGCATTTCATGAGGAGAAAGTTATTTTTAAAAAAACCAACAATTTCTTTATGCAAAAAGCCAGGCTATGCAGTTTTTCAGTTTTGTTTCAATAAATTTCCTTCTTCCATAACCTCAGTTTGGTCCAAAGGTTAAACACCAGGATAGAAGGTAATAAATTTACAGACATTTCTAAAATTTTGTTTTCACTTTGTCATTATTGGGTACTCAGTGTAGACTAATGAGAAAAAAATCATTTTCATCAACTGTAGAATCAAGCCGCAGCATAACAAAATCGACAAAAGTGAAGGGAATCTGAACGTCAACTCATAAAACATTTTCTATGCCCGTTTTATAATTGCCAACAGAAGTGGGGGGTGGAGGAAGGAGTTTGAAAGAGCAGTGCACCAGTTTGGAAGCGAAAGCAGATTCCATGCATACCTTGCAAAGATTATACTAAAAGACTGGAGTTTCTGCCACATAAAACTCCAATTGGAGAACATGATTCATGACTCTTGGCTATGGACGTATTTCGTTGGAGAATATGAATTATGATACACTCAGAGAGGTGGGGGAAAACCAGTCTCAAGGTTGATGGTCAATTACATGTCTCAGAATCAGCTACATCCAGGTCATGCCTATATGTCGCTCCTAATGAATTCTTTGAAACTTTTTAAAGTTTGGCTCAAGGTTCATGATTTAATTAAGGTGATCATTGGAATCCTGACACTGAATACCTTCTGAATGCACTGTATATCCTTCATTTTTTGTAAATAATAAAGGCAGTAGACAAACCCAATATTCCTTCCTCCTGCTATTTTCCCTACCACAACTCTGTGAAATGGGTTGAGCTGAGAGACTTTTGGCCCAAAGTCACCCAACCAGCATTTATGCCTAAGGCAGAACTAGTATTCACAGTCACCATGTTTCTAGCCTGGTTATCGTAACCATTTGCCCAAAATGATGTTATTGAAGAAGGAAATACATTTGAAGAAAAATTGGAAAACTACATAGCCTACCTTTTTACATAAAATA